AACTGAGAGCCCTGAAGATGGGAACCCACTCCAGCCCCCAAAATCCCAATCGAGGAGGGTGTAGGGGAAGGCGGGTATCGGCACGTGTTTCCTTAAACAGTTTTAGTGAGATACAACTTACATGCCACAAAGCTTACACTTTAAAAATGTAATTTAGGGCCACACGTGGTGGCTCATACCTGTAATCCCAGCACTTTGGGAGGCCAAGGCAGGTGGATCACCTAAGGTCAGGAGTTCAAGACAAGCCTGACCAAATTGGAGAAACCCCATCTCTACTAAAAACACAAAATTAGCTGGGTGTGGTGGTGCACGCCTGTAATCCCAGCTACTTGGGAGGCTGAGGCAGGAGAATGGCTTGAACCCTGGAGGCAGAAGTTGCGGTGAGCCGAGACAGCCCCATTGCATTCCAGCCTGGCAGACCCGAATGAAACTCTGTCTCAAAAAAGAAAAAAAGTAATTTAGGGCCAGGCGCAGTGGCTCACACTTGTAATCCCGGGAGTTTGAGAAACTGAGGCGGGTGGATCACCTGAGGTCAGGAGTTCAGGACCAGCCTGGCCAACATGGTGAAGCCCCGTCTCTACTAAAAATACAAAAATGGGCCAGGTGTAGCAGCACATGACTGTAACCCCAGCTACCTGGGAGGCTAAGGCAGGAGAACTGCTTGAACCCAGGAGGCAGAGGTTGCAGTGGGCTGAGATTGCGCCACTGCACTCCAGCCTAGGGAACACAGCAAGACTCTGTCTCCAAAGAAAAACAGTAATTGATTGGTTTTTAGTATATTCAACGTGTTGTGCAACCATAACCACTACCAAATTCCAGCACCTCCCACCACCCCAAAAAGCTTCCCTGTCCCCATTAGCTGTCGCCACCAACCCCGGCACCCCACACCCCCTTCCTGTCTTTGTGGGTCCGCCTGTCCTGCACATTTCACAGGAACGGGATCGCACACAGCATGGCCTTTTGTGTCTGGCATCTCTCCCTGAGTGTGGCGCCTCGTGGTGCCCTGCGCCAGGCCCTGGGTCCGAACCCCGCTCCACTTCGTGCTGACCCACATTCCACTGTGTGGACGGGACATGCTGTGCTGATCCATTTATTGTGGACAGACAATTTAAGCTGTTTTTGCTTTCATTTATTTATTTTGAGACAGAGTTTCACTTTTGTTGCCCAGACTGGTGTGCAGCGGGGTGATCTGGGCTCCCTGCAACCTGCACCTCCCAGGTTCAGGCGACTCTCCTGCCACAGCCTCCCCAGTAGCCGGGATTACAGGTACCCGCCACCGCACCTGGCTAATGTTTTTACATTTTTAGTAGAGACGGGGTTTCCCCATGTTGGCCACGCTGGTCTTGAACTCCTGAGATCTGGTGATCCACCAGCCTCAGCCTCCCAAAGTGCTGGGATTACAGGTGTGACCGTGGCTCTCGGCCCGTTTCCGCTTTTGACTCTTGTGAACATAGCTGCCGTGAACATTTGTGCCTCGGCTTGTAGTGGACGTGTGTCCAGCTCTCTCAGGCACGTAGCTAGTGTCCAGGGGTGGAACTGCTAGGCCTCACGGAAGCTGTGTAACTTTTGGGAGCTGCTCCACTCACATCCCCACCAGCCGTGCCTGACGGTCCAGTTTCTCTGCACCTGTGCTCTCACCAGTCCCCCTTCTGTCCCCACTCCCACAAGCCAGCGTGCTGCTCATCAGGGTGCTCCCCTCAACTCCCAGGGTCCCAGGGACCAGCCGGCCAAGGCGAGGGTCCCAGGCCCCAGAGTCTAGGCGGGGCAACGCGCCTGTAGGTTGGAGGGTCCTCCATTACCTTCGGTTTTGAGGCGCTCTGCCTCCGCTGAGTCCTCCTCAGAAGGTGGGGTTCGTGTGGGGCTCCTCAGGTCCTGCGGCATCTCCTGGTCCCGGAGGCAAAGATGGCCTGCTGCCCTCTCCTCCCAACCTGGCACCCCCCGGCCTCAGGTCTCCTTGGGATGCCAGAGAGGGCCGCCAAGCCCCGAATACCCCAGGGGCTCCGCAGGGGACTCCTGGCCCCTTGCCACGTGGCCCTGGGCAAGCGACCACAGTGCCACGTGCCTCAGGCCCCGCCGATGAAGGGAGGAGGGCCGAGGGCTCCTGCAGCCTTGTCGCTGGGGTCCCCAGCGCTGCTCGCTGCTGCTGCTCTCGTTTTAGGGGTGGTGGCTTGGGAAGCCTATTGGCTCACCTTGCCTGTGGCGGCCGCTTCAAATATCTCCGGCAGAGTCTGAGGGAGCGCGAGATCGCTGTCTTCCACTGTCACCCCAAACGCAGTCTCCAGGCACTGGATGGCGACTGGAAGGGGGAACAAAGGTGGGCCCTCGAGGTGAACGCAGCCCTGAGCTTACATTTTCCGGTCTGGAGAGTGGGGTTGGCGCTCCCGCTTCCCCAGGCACGCTTGTTCCCAAGGATCCCAGAATGCAGGGGCCTGCCCGCGCCCTGGCCTGGGACAGGTCCTCCTCCTTCCCGAAAAGAAAAGCTGTGTGGAGAAGCCCTGTGCGCCTGAGAGCAGGGCCCAGGTGGTGACCTCAGGCCTCCGTGGCGTCTCAATGCTGGGGCTGCCCGGCTGAGGCGTGGTGGGGGCTTGGCCCCGCCTGGAGGGCCACATCAGGGGTGAGGTGCCCGGAATGCTGTCGGCCCTCCAAGAGTCAGGAGCTTGAAGCCAGCCCTCAGTAGAAGTCCTGTGTGACTATGTCTGAACCAGGACCATGGAGAGCAGGACAGGAAACAGCCGCAGGGCCCCTCTCCCGGAGCCCATCCACACAAGCCCCGACACCCTCCTTCGCCGAGCCCCGGCACCCTCCTCTCCCAGAGCCTGAACACACGAGCCCTGGCACCCTCCTCGTGTGGACCCGGGGTCCTAATGGGGGTTGGCTACTTCCTCCCCAGTGCTGTGTCTAGGACCGGGGCACATCCCTACAGTTGTCACTGTGGGTCCATGCCACAGAGGCCTGGCAGGCCCCGGACACAGGTGAGCGAGGCAGAGGAGGAGAAGGAGGATCTGGGCTGGAGCCTGCCGGCCGCACAAGGTGCCTCCCCAGCCCTCCTTCCCCTCCAAGCCCCAGATCTGGGTGTCGCAGACGTGGGAGCCAGACCAGACAGGAGACCACGGCAGGCCAGGCGGGACACCAGTGGGGCTGGGACTCTAGGACAGGACCAGCACTAGGAGAGCTTTTCCCTGTGACCAATAGTGACATGCACACACCAGGTGGTGAGAATGTTCCGGAAGCACACCTTGGTGGAAGATGGGGAGATGGAAAAGGCAGCTCAGCCTGAAGGCGGCAAGCGACGGTGGTACCACGCACTGGCGGCGGGAGGGCTCAGCCCTGGTTCCTGTGGCCAGGGGCTGTGTGGCCCTGGGCAGGTCCCGGCCCTCTCTAGGCTCAGCTTCCTCCCCCAAGAAGCCAGGCGGGAGGCCAGCGGTGTACACACCAGGGGTCTACACTAGGTCTACACTGGACTATGCCAGCTGCTGCCCGGGAAGGGAGGGGGAGGTGGCGGGCACACTCATACCTTCCAGGCTCTCCTGAGCGTCGGACGACAGGCCCCCGTGCCGGAGCTGGTCGTGTAGGAACTGGATGATGGCGTAGGCTAGGCGCTTCTTGTTGTCCATCTCGAGCCCGGAAGAGGTGACACCTGGGGGTGCTCAGGATCTGCGGGTCCAAGTGGAGGGCCTGAGTGCGGGGGGTGCGGGAAAACCCCCCATCAGGCCCCTCACACTCCCCGCCCCAGGCCCGCCCCCAACTCGCCGGGTCCTATTCTAAGGGCGCTCGCTGATCTCAGCTCCAGGACAGCCGAGGTGGTAAGGCCTTAATATGCCCATTTCAAGGATGATGACCTGAGGCCCGGAGCTCACCAACCCGGCCGTGCACAGGCCGGCAAGTGTGAGGCCAGCAGGCAAGCAGCAGCTGCCCTAGAGAACCCGCCCGGCTCCCAGGACCTCCTGAGTGCTCTGAGGGTGGTGCTGAGGCCCCACAGAGGTCCCTTCTGCCCCTGCTTCTGGCATGAGGTGGTTGGAGGTCAGGGACACTGCCCAGCACCCTGCAGTGCCCAGGACAGCTCCGCTCCAGAGAATGAGGCAGCACCAGTGTCCACGGTGCTGAGAGGGAGAGACCTTGTCCTGAGCCAAAGCCATGACCCCCTTCCTCAATCTACCTCTTTTTTGGCATGCCAGCATTTCTTAGACACCCAGCGGGGCTGGGTGTGCCTGCTGTGACATCGCTGTTTCCTGGGACTTGCAGAGGACTCCCCCTAAGGAGTTAGCCATCTCATTCCCTTTCATTCCCCCTTGGACGCCTGTCTGGTTCCCCCTTGGATGCCCGCCTCATCCTTGGACACCCGCCTCATTCCCCCTGGACGCCTGCCTCCTTCCGCCTTGGATACCCGCCTCATTCCCCCTGGACGCCTGCCTCCTTCCGCCTTGGACTCCCGCCTCGTTCCCCCTGGACAGCTGTCCGGTTCCCCCTGGATGCCCGCCTCCTTCCCCTTGGGCACCTGTCTTGTTCCTCACTCCCAGGACCTGACAGCTGCGCTGCTCACGTCTGTGGTCTCTGCAGGTTCCTGCCAGAGCTCTAAAGGGCACCGGAGGATGACGTCGGGAGAGGCTGTTCTGGAAGCTGGAGCTGTTGCCCACAGACGGGTCTTTTTTTAGTACAAGACCTTTCACGCAGGTTTCCTGGGTGCCTGGGCCAAGTTGGAGGGACTTCAGCTGCAGCGACCTTCCCGGCACTGGGCAGGACGCCCCGCCGCGTGCTGTGCGAGCTTCCTGGGGCGGGCTGGCCAGCGGCCTCGCAGCGCCACCTCCAGCAAGCCCGGCCTCACTGTGCCTCCATTTCCAGCTGGCCACGGTGACTCTAAACGTTCTGATATAACAAACTGCACCGAGAAGCAGCAGCCACTCTGGGGCCGCCGTGCTCTGGGCTGAACACTGTTCCCCTAGTCACATCCACCTGCAACCTGAGAATGCGACCTTGTTCGTGTCTCTGCAGGGACAAGCAAGTCGAGGCGAGGTCACTGTGGTGGCCCTAACGCAGAGACTCAACACGGTGTACGGCTACGGAGACGGCCACGTGAAGACAGACGCAGAGGCGGAGGCCACGCGGCCCCCAGCAGCTGGGAGACGCAGGACGGAGCCGCCTTCGGAGGCAGCGCGGCCCGGCCCGCACCCTCGCCTCGGACTTCTGGCCTCCGGAGCTGCGAGGGACATCGACCTTGGTGGTTTTAAGCCGGCCGGGTTGTGGCCACAGGACTAGCGAGCGGACACAGCCCTCGGCTGTGAGGGAGAGGCCAGGCGGCTTGGGTCCTGATTGCGGCCTGCAAAGTTCATGAGCTCGGACGGGTCGCTGAGTGTGTCGGAGCCTCCGCCTCCATGTCTGTAAAATGGGGAGGCCCATGGTGGCTGCTGTCGGGGGTCAGGGGAAGTAACTGCGACGCTCTCCGCCCAGAGCATGGCGCCCTGCAGTGTCCACCGTGACTTTCACGATTCCTCGAGGTGAGTCTCGCAGCACAGACCTCGGCTGGCTATTTTTGGCGGTGTGACCTAGGGGAAGCAGCTGAGCTCTGCTGAGCCTCAGTTCCCTCTTCTGTCCCCCAGGGATGGCGACAGCACCTCCCCGTCAGGGGTGCGTGAGGAGGGGTAAGACCAGGCGTGCGCAATGCCGCGAGAACGGCCCCACAGACAGGCACGTGGACAGGCGCCTGCCCACCCGCAGTGCCCAGACCAACACAGGCTGAGGCTGTTCCGGAAACGCTGCCCACTGCGCCGGTCTACTAGGAGGAGGTGGAGAGCGTGCTCCGAGGCTAGAAGCAGGCATGGCGGGGGTGGCTGCGGTGCTGGGGCATGGCCACGGGATGGGACCCCATCCTCTCTGTTCTCCAGCCACGGGACAGAACCCGTCCTCTGTTCTTCTGCCGCAGGACAGGACCCCATCCTCTCTGTTCTCCGGCCACGGGACAGAACCCGTCCTCTGTTCTTCTGCCGCAGGACAGGGCCCCCATGCTCTCTGTTCCCCGGCCACGGGACAGAACCCTGTCCTCTGTTCTCGAGATGAGGTTCCCTTGGTGGGGCTAGGCAGCCACTTTCCCTGGAAGCCACTTTCTGTCCAGGGCCTCTGGTGTCCCCAAGCAGCTGTGTCTTCCCTGTCTGTGTCCCTCGCTGGCTGACACACAGGTTGGCGGGGCTATGTGTCACCGCCCTTCCTCATGGGGCCAGGCCCAGCCCGTGCCTAGTCGGCCATATATTCAGCCAAGCTCTGCGTGCCCAGACCCAGACAGGTGAGGCAAGGGAGAGGCAGGCCCAAGGTCTCCAGAGCAGGGGAATCACCGCGAGGAGAAGCACAGGTCTGACATCAAAAGCTCAGGCTGAGTCAGACAGGGTGTGGCTGAGAGGCTGGTAGCCTCGGGATGGATGAGGAAGTGCCAGGCCTGGCTGCCTCTGAATAATTTTTTTTTTAAACAGTCTTGCTCTGTCGCCCAGGCTAGAGTACAGTTGCATGATCTCAGCTCACTACAACCTCCGCCTCCTGGGTTCAACTGATTCTCCTGCCTCAGCCTCCCAAGTAGCTGGGATTACAGGCACCTACCACTGCGCCCAGCTAATTTTTTTATTTTTAGTAGAGACAGGGTTTCACCATCTTGGCCAGGCTGGTCTCGAACTCCTGACCTCGTGATCCACCCACCTCAGCCTCCCAAGTGCTGGGATTACAGGCGTGAGCCACCGCGCCCAGCTTCCTCTGGATAATTTCTTATTCTTCTCTGCTTTGTGCCCAGATCTGCTCTCCAAAATGTGACTAAAACCACAAACGCCTACAAGGAATCTCTGACCCAGCACCCAGAGGGCCGCGGCTCCTCATCCTGAGCCCACGAAGCACGAGAGCAGCGCAGCCAGGGTCTGCCCCCAGGTCCCACGCCCCACCTGGGCCCCAGGGACGCTCCCTGCACAGCCACACTGATATGTGGCTCCACGGGCTGAATGCTGGGATGAGCCAAACTGTGTCCCCCCAGTCCGTACACTGAAGTCCTAACTGCCAGGACCTCGAAATGTGACCTCACCTGGAAATAAGATCTTGGCAGACAGAATTCATTAAGATGGCATCATACCAGACCACAGTGGGTCACTAGAGTAATAACCAACGTCCTTATAATAAAGGCAGACGCACGCACAGGGAGAACGCCGTGTGGACGTGAAGGCGGAGATGGGGTGACGTGGCTACACGCAGGAACAGCGAGGGCTGCCGGCCGCCACCAGGTCCCCCTCCCGTCCTCACGAGGAATGAGCCCGCCGGAACCTTGCTCGTGGACTTCCGGCCTCCAGAGCTGAGGGATGACAGACTCTGTTTCAGCTGCCTGGTCTCCGGTGCTGTCATGGCGGCCCCAGCAAACCCACACGAACGCCAGGTGAGTGGGCATCTCAGGAAGCACCTCTGTCCTGACCACTCCAACAAGCAGGTCAGCCCTGTCTCCAGATGAACTGAGGCCCGCAGGGGGGTGTGGTCGTGTGCCCAGGGTCACGTGGACATGAGGACACACGGGCGGAAGGGGGCAGTGAAGGACGGTGGCCAAGGAGCACGGAGGGAGGGACCAGCTGTGCGTCACTCACTGTGTCCCAGGAGCCAGCTGCCAGAGGGGCAGCTTCTTTATAGGAAATCGAAGCTTCCCATCATTTCTTTCTTTTTTTTCTTTTTAATTTTTTTTTCTTTTTTAAGACGGGGTTTCACCATGTTGGTCAGGCTGGTCTTGAACTCCCGACCTCAGGTGATCCGCCCGCCTTGGCCTCCAAAGTGCTTGGATTACAGGCGTGAGCCACCACGCCCGGCCGCTTCCCATCATTTCTGTACAAACGTCCATTTTAACTTTAAGTGCACAGATGTCTCATGGTCCAAGGCACGTACGTTAACACGTGTGCGCACAGGCAGAGAGGCCTTCGGCTACGACCATCCCCGTGGAGACAGACTCAGAGGCAGGGCACCAAAAGTATCACAGCCACGAGGATGACCTGTCTGAGCACCTCCTATGCTTCCGGCAGACCCCGAACTCAACCGTGTAAAATATCTGTGCATGAACACGGGCAAAGAGGGGAGGGCGCCTCCAGAGAATTTCATCTTTCTTTAGGAGACATCTCACCGTGCTACCCGGGCTGGTCTCAAACTCCTGGCCTCAAGTGATCCTCCAGCCGTGGCCTCCCAAAGTGCTGGGATCACTGGTGTGACCCACTGTGCCTAGCCTCCTCTAGGAGGTAAATGCTGAGGATCCCTATGGATTTTGCGGAAACTGTGTGTGCGCGTGTGTGTATGCATCTCCTAGATTCTGTTTTACTCGGTTCTCAATGGATGTGTTGAGACGCTTGGCGGTGTCTGACGTGGAGTGGGTGGAGTTCAGGGGCACCTCCCAGTGCCCTGGAGTGCCCAGGACAGTCCTCCCCAGAGAACGATCCGACCCCAACGTCCACAGCTCCCAGTGGGAGAGATGCCGGGCTAGAAGAGGGCGTGAAGAGGCTGTGGGTGCACCAGGCACTTTCCACAACCCCATCTCATGACCTCAGGTGCAACGACTTCCGCGGCAGGACTGGGGATGGAGGCGTTCGTGAGAGGCCACGGGAGCCACAGGCACGGTGGGATCCACACCCAGCAGCCGCCTGACCTGCCCCCACACTCAA